TCCGGTCATGGAGAGGTGGCCGACAAGTGGTGCAGCCAGGGTGGTGGAGGGACAAGGGCTATGGAGGCCCCGGGGAGGGAGGGTCCACTCCCACGTGGTCTCACATCTGAGCTTCTTGGTGTCATCCTAGTGTGACTGGGCTGGGGCCTGCCTGGGGTCGGTGAGTCCAGGCTGGTGGATTACCGTTTGGACTGACCGACTGCCGGTGGCCTCCCCTTCTGTTTCTTGGGCAACTGCAGGGTGGACGTTTGCTGGGAGGCCCATGCCCTCACTGCCCCCTTGTCCTTCTCTTCCCACATTCGGGCTGGCTCAGCCTCTTTGCTGTGAGGCCTGGCTCCCTTGAGGAACTGCCCTCTCTGCCCTTGTGGGTTCTCAGCCTAATGAGCAGCAGTTTTCTCTCAAGTTAGCCAGCCTTGAGGGGTGTCCGGTCAGCGAGGTGATACCACTGGGTGGGGTGCCAAGACCACGGTGCCGCACCCCCTTCCTTGGCCCCCCCATGCAGCAGGCCAAGGGAGTCAGCCCTCCACTGAGTCCTGGTACTGGAGGTCCGGGAAAGTGGGTCTCCCAGGCCCTTTGCAGCTGCCCCACAGCCTGGCAGCCCCCTCCCTGCCCTGCTCCAGCACACACTTCAGTTGTGTCCAGTCACCCTTCTGCCTGGAACCTCATTTGGAGAAATTCCTCAGGATCCTCAGACCTCACTTGCTTCTGACACCCTTCTGAGTGTCCCCAGTGGTCTTTCCACACTACTGAATGGGGCTTAGGGGTGCCTGCCTCCCTGCAGACCCTTCTCCTTGAAGGCAAGGACTGGGCCGGGGCTTTGAGTCTTCAGGAGGAACTCATGGACTCTGTGTGGGTGTACGTTTAACTTGTCTGTGTGGGGCTGGCTTCCTGAGAGCCATTTCCAAGCCTTCTGGGCTGGCCTGATAACATCCCCCCTGCCCATCAGAGTCACTTCCTGCCCTGCTGAGCTCTGGGGACAGGCCAAGTCAACTCCAAGCTCATGACTTTCAAGTTACCTTGTCTTTTCTCAGACGAGGTTTCTCTAGGGGAAGCGTGCATGTGTGCGTGTGTGTGCACGTGTGTGCATGTGCATACATGTGTGTGCATGTGAGACCAGTGTACTTGTCGGTTCTGCCAGTGCAGTGGGAGCATAGTCTTCTCTTCCACGTTTTACTCTCCCGTCCTGTCCTTCAGCTTCTGCATTGTGTATGGACGGCAGGTGGGAGGGGGCTTTGGCGTGAAGCCTGGACTCTGACTACCAACACTTTCCCCGAATGTTGTTTCTGCCAACTTCTTCTGAGCTCTTTAGTCTTTGCCTTATGCCCTCTTTGCGTGTCAGTCCAGAGTTCCAGGTAGCCAGGCCCCCTGAACTGGGTCACAGCCTAAACAAAAATAGTGGAAGGGGGACAGTGGGGGCCCGAGGTAGAAATGGGGAGGCCTGGGTCTCAGTCAGCAGGAACACCCCGACTGTGCGCCAGGCGCCCGGCAGGCAAGGGAGCTGAGTCCCAGAGACTAAGGTACTTGGCTGGGCCCTGTCTATGGAGGGGAGACATGATTGGCTCATTCCAGAAATGTGTCTGGAACCCCTGCTATGTGCCCAGCGCTGGAGGTCGAGCCTGAATGTAAGGGAGATCAGGGTGGAGGTCAGAGCTAAGGTGATCAGTTACAAGGAGCTGGGTCCTCACTTTGGGAGAGCGGGGGCCACTGCAGGGTTTTGAAGGGAGGGGTGACGTGATCAGACTTTGATTTGAAAACAGGTATAGGACAGCTAATTCATTTTTCTAGTTGAGGTGTGAGCCCTTCTCTTCCCCGTCCTGCTGCATGACAGTGTCCCTGCCCCGGTTCAGCCCAGCCCCGCCTACCGAGGCATGCTGCTGAGGGACGCCGTCACCTCGCCAACTGCATGCCCTTGGTGACCAGGGACCTCAGAGGCACTGCTGCTCCTCCAGTAGATTTGTCCCCACTGTCCAGAACATCCATCGCATGTTCTCTTCTCTTCTTAGACCCTGTACCTCCTCTCAATGCCATGCTCTCACTCCTTGCTCATGACCTTGCCTCATTCTTTTTCTAGGAAATAGAAACAATCGGGGGACCCGCGCGTTTCCTCCCACCGAGTTGACCTGGTTTCCTGCTTCCCTGCTTGGAGACTTCAGTTCCTCAAAGGCCTGCAGCCCCCTCACCTTTGCTCTGGATCCCTTCCGTTCTCGCCTTCCCAGATTAGCCCCCGCAGTCATCTCCCCACGCCCCTGGATCAGTTGTCTGCCTGTCTGTCTGTCTCTCCTGGATCCTGCTCTGTAGGAGGCCCAGGGAGAGCGGGAGATGGGCTCTCAGTAGTAACCGCAGACTTGAAACACGTTCCCGTGTTGGTCGTGGGAACCTCTCTGTGGGTGACCAGACCAGCCGCTCTCTATTTGGAGCACACTGTAACACAGGCCACCTTTTTTTATTTTAAATTAACCAGTTAATGTTTTGTGTAGGTAACAAATGTATACGGTTATAAAAATCTAATAATGCAAAGGAGTATGTAGCGAAAGCAGCTGCCTTCCTACATCATCTCCAGGTTCTCTTGCTCCCTTCTGCAGAAACAACCACTCTTTGGACTTCCCTAGGGGTCCTTTCAGAAGCACTCTGTATACCTGTAAGAAAGTATATCTTTGGGTTTTGTTTTTCACACACAGTGGTGACATACTCTGCTCCCTATTTTTGTCCCTCTGTCTTTGAGATTGTTTCCTTTGACTGTGTAACAAACCATCCCAACATTAAGTGCCTTGAAACAATCACTGTTTTATTATTTTTCATGTTTCTGGGCTGGCCGGAGCATGCTCCTGCATCAGCTGCCTGCGGTAGGTCAGGGACGCCGCTGCCCTTGGTTGGGCTCTCTTGTGTGCCTGGGTCTCACAGAGACCCCTCAGCCCTGTTGCACGTGGCCTTTCAGCCTCCTACTTCCAGGCTGGCCAAGCTCGTTCTCATGGTGGTCGCGGAGAAGCAAGAGGGAAGCAGAACTGAGCAGGCCCCTTTCCAAGTTTCTGTGTGCGTCAGATTTACTACTGTCATATTAATGGAAGCACGTCATGAGGCCAAGCCCAGGGTGAGGGAGAAAGGCCCCAAAGCATGTGGATTCAGGGAAGCAAGAGGACCTGGCCGTTGGTGCAGTTGGGCTACCCCAGAGTTGTATTTAGATCTGTCCCCTATGTTTAATGGACACACTCTGTCCCCTTGCCTGGGGTACACCATCATCGGTTCAGCAGGTCCCCTGCATTGTTTCTATTCTTTGCCGTTACCAGTAGGGCTGCGTGCAGTAAACATCCCTATATGTGCACCTTTGTTCTCAAGAGTGCGCGTGTCTGCGGGCAGAGGGGAACTGGAATTTCTGGGTCACGTGGCACGGGTGTGTACCTTGTTTTGTAGGTGTTGCTACGTTGCACTCTGTAGACACTCGTATTGGGCTATACTCCTCCCAGCGCTATCCGATAGCCTCTGTCTTTCTGTGAACCCTCCTTGGGAGGCCGGAGAAACACAAGGACTGCAACCGTTAAGGGACCTGTGATTTACAAGAAGCCAAACAGACGCAGGGCTGAAATTTACTGAGGTTGTGCGGAGACTGGGAAATGGAGAACCTGGCTGTCTCTGCTGGTAACAAAGGGGACACTGAAGAACCAGTTCCTACTTCAATAGGGGTTTGTTTTTTCCTCTTGGATCAGAGCCACGGCAGGAATGGGTTGAATAGACCTAATGCTTCTCTATTGACATATAAACCGAGTGGTTGAGATTTTTGTATTGGTATCAAGTACTCCCTGGAACAGAGTAGAAATCTTAAGTTTTTTCTTCCCCATCTGATCAAATTTCAGTTCCAGCTGTTCATCCCACAAGGGAGAAGGCTGTGAGGAAGGGACAGTCAGTTAAGAGGCAAAGAGTATACAGGGAGGCCAAGGCCCCCTGGGCACAGAGCCACGCTGGCTGCAAGGCTTATGGGATTGATTGTCTGTGGAGATGGACCGGGGACCAGAGTCCCCTGCGGGGGGCTAATTTCCCTCGCTTTTCCCATGAGGGTCCTCAGGAGTGCTCTCTGGCTCTAGGCTTTCTCTCTATTTAGGTCACTGAGGAGCTGGTTTCTGCCACTTCACCTTAACCCCCCCCCCACCAATGCCTGTGGGAAAGGTGAGACCAGCCCCAGGCACCCCTGAGCGCCCCCTCACTTCAGTCACCGGAGAATCCCAGCTGGTGGTGCAGGACAGGGACTTAGAAATTGCCTGTCCTGCCCTTGCAGTGGAGGGGTTAAGCGGCTTGGCCAGGGTTGGGAAGGAAGCTGATCCCCTTCTCTCAAAATGTCGTTCACATGGTTTGTACCTGGCCTGCTGGGGAGACAGGGCAGGGAGTGGCCTGGGTTCTAATCCCAGCTCCAGGACAGACGGACTCTGTGGCCTTCGGCGTGTTGCTCCACGTGTGGTACCTGGTTCCCTGTCTGTGAGGTGGAGATAATAATTGTCTCAGTGTCCTGTTTGGAGGACTCACGGGATGATGTGAACTGCCTGGCACACTGCGTGGCATTTGGTAAGAGCCGTATGGCTTGGCTAGTGATGGATGGTGCACAGCATCCATATCCTTCCGCTAGACTGCAGGCCTCTCGAGCACAGCGACTGTGTCTCAGAGAGCTCTCTGGCCCCACCACATCCAACATAACCACTCTGGGAAATAGTCCTGAAGGAATGAAAATAACAGCAACAGTAACTAACATGTATTCAGCACCTGCCTGACACCATATGCATTACATGTGTCGTCTCTAGTCCTCACAGTAGCCGGGTGGGGAAACCAAGACTCAGAGGGGTTAAGGAACTTGCCCAGTACCACACAGCCAGCAAGCTGAGAGGCAGGGGTTCAAGCCCAGGGCTGCCTGAGGCCAAAGCTCTTTCCTCGCATTGTGCCACCGGGCTTCCCCATTCTGGAAAGTCCACGCCTGGCCCCGCTTTGCAGTCCTGCTGCCCTCCCTCAGCTGTGGCATCCGTGTGCTCTGCCCTGTGCCTGTGAGTGGGAGTAGGCAAGTGGAGGAAGAGATACTCAGATTGAAGTCTTTTATGGGGCAAGACTCTGATGTCCGCTTTCCCTGTTCCTGTGTTGTGGCTGGAAAACCCTCCAGGCAATCGTAGGGTGCACCTCGTTTGCCACCCTGGTCTCAGAGATCGCTTTCCTCTGTTGCCTGATTTCAGATGGGAGGGTAAAGTTGGTCCATCTTGGCTGGAAGTGAAAGTCTATTTTTAACATTTTGATCCTCTTTATATTTAATTCTTTTAATCCAGCTGGAATTAATTTTCTTGTATGCCCCAAGGTGCCTTTTTTCCTTGTGCCTCACTGTCCTAGCATGTAGTGGGACACCACGGTTGGACAAAAACAGCTGGGTAGGTGACATCTGTTTCTTTTGTTGATAGTGGATTCTGATTGGGAAGCTGTGAGGTCCTAGACCAGTGCAGCCAGTGCCCATGGAGCCCCCTCCATCATTAGGACTGTATCATTTGTCTGGCATGAGCTGGTTGATATTTTCATGATTTCTGCCCTCCTCGTTGGGAGAGTGTGTAGCAGGGAAGTCATCTGTTTTTGAAGGGAAGCCAAGAAAACATAATTCGTTTGGGAGATTGATTGGAGGCTGGAAATTTTAAAATTGCAAAAATGATTTCGTAGCTACCATGCTAAATTTCAAATTAGACTGTAAGCTCTTTGCTCAGAGTGTGCAGCTCCTTCAGAACTGAGGTGTTGATCCTTGTCTACCTGGCAGGATACTCCCTCGACTACCCCTCTCCCTCTCCCTCTTCGTCTCAGGGTTCAGCTCTAACAAACTACTTGAAGTGCCCCAAACAATTGTTGTGCTGTGTCGTGCCTTTGCGTATTCTGTTCCTTCTGCCCAGAATGCCCTTCCCTATATTTTCCTCCTGGCAAACATATACCTGTGACACTCTTGGTGAAGGCTTTGTATCCACCTCCTCCAGCCAGCGAGGGCTGCAGGCATCTTTGTTAGGTCCCACACCATGCTGAACAGTCCTGAAGGACTCCAGCCTCCATGAGAAAAGGGGCGGTGTCTCCTGATTCTGAGGAGAGCCTCTTCCTCTCAACTCAGCCTTTGCCAGGGCCCTCCCAGCTGCTCTATAGCGCTGGGCTCTCCTCACTTCTTGCATCAAGACTCTGGTGCGTGGCCCCAGTGTCAGGAGACCGGTTAACACAAAGGACGTGAGTCCCACAGAACATCACAGGAGTGGTTTTTACACTCTTCTTTAACCATGCAGTCCTTCGTTTACATGAACATTTTTGCAAGCCTAGGAAGTAAAAACCCATGAAAGAGGAGAAGTGGAGAGTCTAGTGTCTCCACCAAAGCCCTCAGTTGGGTCTGCAGAGGGCTGTTTAGAAAGCGGTGAACTTGGGGATGGGTGTTGGTAAGTTTTCCCAGTGGTTCTCAGCTTAAAGCCTGTTTCATGTTTGGGAGGTCTGCTTAGGAAACCAGTGTGGCCGCCATAACAAAGGTCAGAATAACAATGGCTTAAGCAGAACGAGGTTGAAGTTAATGTTTCTCATGTGATAACTGATCATAAGCAGCGTCCAGGGCTTGGTGGCGGCTCCTGAGTGTTGGAGACCAAGGCTCCTCCTGTCCCGCTGCTTGTCCTTTCTGCTCTCTGGCCTGGGGATTCTGCTCAGATGCAGGGTCAGAGGGTCAGCAGCAGAGAGGTGAGCTGGAGGGGCAGGGTATGATGTGGGGTAATTTGGGATAGTGCAGAATAACGTGCAACAATGGGGAGAGAGGAACCCTCAGCTCAGGTGTACAGGAGGCCTTTCTTAGAATTTCCCCCCAAAATGCTGAGGTTAAATCCTAGGGCCAGAGTCACAGAGTGACAAGCTGAGATTTAAATCTAGGACTCTGAATCCCATTTTACTTTATGTTTTTTTTTTGAAACTTAAAGTATACAGAAAAGAAATTCCATGTATGCAGATAGTCTTACTACTCATAAATAACCACTATTAATACCATGATATATATATACACACATACATACATACATGATATATATATATAAACTGGAAGTATACGTATATATATGTATACTTCCAGTTTTAAGGAAGAGTTCCAATTTTTAAAGAATTTTTTCTAAAAGTAATATAAAATTATTCTGCTCAATATAAATAATTCAAACTACAAAGATGAGAATTTAAAAATGATCCCAAATGCTGTCATTCAGAAATTCCTGTCATTTACTCCAGTGATACATTTTAGACATCTTCCTAGGGACACAGACAGATATGTAAGAGACATGGACATACTTTTATAAACAGCCGTTATCCTCCTGTCCAATATAGTAACCACTAGCCTTGTGTAGCTATTGACCCCTTGAAATGTGGCAGGTTCGAAATGAGATGGGCTGCAAGTGTAAGGTACACTGGATTTAGAAAAACTTACTATGAAAAAGAATGCAAGATATCTCAGTAAGATAAGTATAATTCTTAAGTATAATTGAAAGTACTAATTACTTGCTAAACTGATAATATTTTGGATATATTGAGTTAAGTAAAATATATTATTAAAATGAACAATTAACTTCACCTGTTTCTTTTTTTCTCTTTTAATATAGTTACTAAAACTTTTAAAGTAACATGTGGCTTGCATATATTTCTATGCAGCAATGCTGTATTTAGAAAATAAAGTATTAATAAGTATTCATGGAAAGAAGGAACTGAATCTGAAGGAATTGTTGAGCTCCAAATACATGCTTCACCATGTGACATCATTTCCTAAAGAGTCCAATAAAGTTTAAAAAAGATTGGAGTCATGTTATTTTTTTTTGTTTTCTTTACAAATGAATTTTTTTAAACTGAAGTATAATCAATTACAACGTGTCACTCTCTGGTGTACAGTAGAATGTCCCAGTCATGCACATACATACATGTGTTTGTTTTCATGTTTTTTTCATTAAAGGTTATTACAAGATATTGAACATAGCTCCCTGTGCTATACAAAAGACACTTATTTTAAAAAATCTATTTTTGTATATAGTAGCTAACATTTTAAAATCTCAAACTCCCAAATTTATCCCTTCCCACCCCCTTTCTGCAGTAACCATAAGATTATTTACTAAGTCTGCTAGTCTGTTTCTGTTTTGTAGATGAGTTCATAGTGTCCCTTTTTTTTTTTTTTAGATTACACATATGAGTGATATATGGTATTTTTCTTTCTCTTTCTGGCTTACTTCACTTAGAATGATGATCTCTAGGTCCATCCACATTGCTGCAAATGGCATTATTTTATTCTTTTTTATGGCAGAAGAGTATTCCATTACATAAATATACCACAACTTCTTTATCCAGTCACTGTTTCCTTTAAACATATAGTACAGGGTTTTGAAAGATGAGGATGTGGCCCCTGAAGCTGCCCCCAGTTTTTGACGTATTACTGTTTTTGCATCACTTTGGTTTGTAACACCCATGTTCTGTTCTGTACTTCTCGAAGGCCTTTCGTATTTTACATGTAGTTGCTCTGATTCTCACCATCAGACCTCTGCCTACACGTGGTCATCCCTGAGTCCTGGACTTCAGGACTATTAGCTACATTTCTTTCTTAAGAAGGGCTCATGCTTCTGGGAGGAAGCTGCCCGTGGCTTTCATGCCTGACCAGAGTTTGTGCTGGGCCCGTTCACCTGGGCTTCCCTTTGTGTCCCTGGGCTCTTGTGCAGACATGGCCTCATGGTCTCCATGCGGCCGTGGGGCCGGCCTGACATCCTCCGCATCTTGTAGGCGATTGCTTTCTCTTTGTGGACCACTAGAGAATTCTTGTGTCCAGCAACTGAACTCAGCCCTGTTTTGGTGTTGCTTGGCGCCTCCCAGGAACTTCGGTCTCATCTCTAAAGGATTATTTTTGGCTTCCCAGTGCATGGGTAGAGGGGCTGCTGAGAACTAGATTCGGTAGCTTTGGGTCGCTGACCAGAGGACTTGGAAAGGCTCTCGTTACCGCTCTCGGCCTTCAGGTGACCTGCTTTTCAAAATCTCAGTGGGTCCTCTGTGATTTTTGTTTTTAAAGTTAATTTTAGATTGCACAAATAATGGGCAAGCCTATGCTCCTTTCTAGGGCCAGGCTGTTACAGATAAAGCCAAAGTCCGTTTTTCTGCTCAGCCCCATTGAGGTCCTCCCTGCACCCCAGTGCCATGAGTTTGAGTTATATCCTTCCAGACCTTTAAACACTGCTTTTATATTTTAATACAATTATGTTCTATCCCATCACAGAAAAAAAATGGACCATGTTCAGGCTGGGGTATGAATCAGTCTGGGTTTATTCAGAACCACCTGGATGTATGGATTCCAAAGAGCTACTTGCTCTTGGAGTTTCTTTTTTTTTTAATTGAACTGTAGTTGATTTACAGTGTTTCAGGTGTAAAGCAAAATTATTCAGTTATACATATCTACATGTATATCTATATTCTTTTTCAAATTCTTTTCCAGTACAGGTTATTACAATATACTGAGTATTGTTCCCTGTGCTATGCAGCAGGTCTTTGTGGAGTGAGGTTTTTATTCTAATTAACAAGCCAACACAGACGTTAACAAAGTTATAAGTAATGTACCCTTAGGAGTAAAACCTTCATACAAACATTCCCAGATATCTCGTGTGTATAGCTTTGATTTTTAGGTAGAAACGGACTGCATGCAATCAGTTCATTTTGACATAAATTTGTTTTGAGAATCTGACTACACAAGACATTCCACCAGCTCACGTCCATGTACAAGCACAAAAGAGCTAGAAGATTTCACTGCATCACTCTTGGAAAATACAGAGTATTGGGTTTTGTAAAGATCATACTCAATAAATCATAAGACAACTTGGTGTTTTCTGCTGAACTTGAGATCTCTCCAAGTTAATGTGTGTCCATCTTTCTAGCTCAGAGGAATGACTGAATACTTGAGCTTTTGCATACACACTCTGGAACAGTCTTTACTAATGAGCAGAGTTCACTGTCAGATGGTGCCTACTTGCCGTCCTAAGGTCCTTGGTGGGGGGGCGGTTCCCAGCACATAGACGATTCCTCGCCCCCATTTAGCTTCTCATTGTGTTCTTTTCAGATGACATGGCTGAACTCCTGCTCGGGGAGTCAAAGCTGGAGCAGTACCTGAAGGAACACCCTCTGCGGCAGGGGGCCAGTCCCCGAGGCCCCAGGCCCCAGCTGACCGAGGTTCGCAAGCATCTGACCGCCGCCCTGGACCGAGGGAACCTCAAGGTACCGTGGGCCTCTGGGATGAGGGGGACACTGGGGAGATGCTGGCTCCACATCCTCCAGGCAACATATGGATGAAAGGATGCCTGGGACGAACTGGGCGATGGTCAGAACACACCCGCACGCTTCTGGGGCTCGTCTTCCTAGAAGCAGGCTGGCTCCCTGTGTGGTCACTGTGTCAGCCCTTGGCTGGCTGACCTCTTTGCGGGCCTTCCAGACCAATAGGGCCTCTCTGATGAGTCTCCAATGGCACATTATCCTGAAACATGGCACTAATCTTCCCCAGGTGCTTAGAATAGAGCTGTTATATGTGGCCCAGAACTCAACCTGACACTTAGTCCCACTGAAAAGAAAGAAGTGAATCAGTAGTGTCACTGCACGATATCCTGCCTAAAATGTGCAGCTCGTGAACGTCCCTGGCTGCTCTGGCCCAGAGCCGCGTGGGGGTTCATACTGGCGGCGGCAGGCCTGGCGCCTGGGTGTGGGAGGAACCGGGGCAGGGACTTCCCTCTGCCTGAGCTATGACCCTCAGGACACAGGAAACCCCGCACGCTGCCCTTCTGTCATCTGCCCTGTGTTCTGATCTCTATCTGTACTCAGCTTCCCTCTCCCGTGTCTTTCCTTTCTGGCTTCTTTGGAATCCCCTTTCATCTCGCCTTCAGGCCCCTGCCCAGCCCCCCCCCCCGCTGCTAGGTCACCTGCTGGGCTCTGGACACTTCCCTGCCCTGAAGTCAGGCTCTTACTGCTGTCCCGAGGCCGATCTCATTCAGACAGCTGACTGCATCCCGCCACCCCGTCAGCCTCTCTAGGGTCCTTGTTCAGTCTAGGCTGTGTTTCTGTTGGGGAAAGGCAGTCTTCAGTGAACTTTTGAAGCTCTGACTTACTTCTTCCTTCCTGCTCATCTGTAAGTGTACTGAGCTCAAGGTTGTTCTGAGTCTCAGGTGTAGACGTCCTTTCACAGATGAATAGAGCTAGATACATGCCATTTTTTCTTTCCCGCTAGTTTATTGGTTCTCTACCTAGAGAATTTTTCTCCTGTTGCCATTTTTTGGCTTCCTTCGCCTTATCAAGAATTCTCTGAGGTTGTATGGCTCTTGCTTGGCCAGGCTGCCCCCTCACACTGGCTGATGTGACGCTTCCTCTCCTCTTGACCTCAGGTTCCAGTGTCTCCTGGCTGGGAGCTAGCGAAAGCCCCAGGCACACGTAGGTGCCCACAAAATACAAGTGAACTGAGGCTGGAGAGGCCAGAGCAAGCTAGCAGGTTGGTGGCAGAAAGAGCCTGGACTAGGACAGGAGACCTGGCTTCCGATTCAAGTCAAGAAAATTGCACTCGTCAGGGGCAGGGTAGCTGGGCACAAGGCTGGGCTGTTCCTCCGTCCCCTGCAGCCCAGTGGCCTTGGCCAAGCTGTTCCCTCCCCTGCTCAGGGCTGCGGATTGGACTCACCCAGCAGGGCTCTCCCAGGGCACCCATGCTGTGCTCGACACTTGGAATTTTCTTCAGGCTCCTGTGTCTTTTCCATCTGGGCCTTCAAGTTTACTGTTTTTTTTTTTTAATTAAGTTTTTTTTTCAGGTTTGATTTTTAAAACTTTTTTCTTGTAAAATATAAATATAAAATTTACCATTATAACCATTTTTTAGTATACGGTTCAGTGGTTTTAAGTGTATTTGCATTTGTATCAGCACATCCATCTCCAGAACCTTTTCATCATCCCAGACTGAAGCCCTGTACCCAGTAAACACTCTCCTCCCTCTCCCCCTTCAGTTTGCTTCTCAGCCAGCGGTCCTTACTTCTCGGGACACAAGGAGGACACAGTGGGATCTCCTAGGTGAAGCCTTTTCTATGCATTCAGGCCTGCCCGGGCCCCCACCCTGGTGGGGAGCCCCTGTGGTGGATGCTTCTTTTCACAGCTCTTTTTCTCTTTTCTTAGTCTGCTTTGATTTCTTTCTCTATTTCCAAATATAATTCTGATGTCTTGCATCAGTGCCACTCCCTTGGGCTACTCTTAAAACTTTTTTGCTCCCTTTGGTCTCTCTGCCCATTCTGCCGTCCTCTCCAGTGCTGCCTCTTGTCCCTGCTCCCTTTCGGGGAAAGCCTGGAAGCCGACTCCCTTGGTGAAACAGTGGCTTCACCCTGCTCTGGCTGGTCACTTATATGTTGCACACTCAGCTCAGCCAGAGATTACAAAAGAGTACAGCTTCATGGTAGGCTTCTGTGGGCTCAAAAATCCGGCCTCGTGTAGCCAGGGATCTAAGGAGGAGGCCCGGGAGAGGATGATAAATGCTTCCTTATTTGGAAGGCTGGGCCACCTTCTCTTTGCTGGCTGATGAGTTGGGGTGGGAGGAGGGCAGAGGATGAGGCCAGTGGGTGTGGACTGCCTGACGGAGAGGAAGGACTGTTAGAACTTGCAGCCTCTGGGAGGGGACCCGGGGTCAGCACCGAAACAAGCTGGAATGTCTCAGTGGGAAGAGTCCGAACCTGGAAAGAAAGCAAGTCCTGGTTTTTGCACCAGTTTAGAAAGCCTCTCTCCTCGGGTCATTTGGTGTACAGTTTTGTGCACCCCCAGTGCTTTGCGACCCACCAGGTTGTCTGGGGGGGGCCTCCTTTCCTGAGACTGGTGCTCATGGGTTTTGTCCATAACGCATGCCTTCCATTCTTGGCCCAGCCCAGCCCAAGGCCTGAGGGGAGCCTGTTTTACAGCAGCTTTATTGAAATACAATTCACATGCCATATAATTCATCCACTTCACAATCCAGTGGTTTTTAGTGTATTCACAGAGTTGTGCCACTGTTACGTCTATTTTCGAACATTTTCATCACCCTGGAAATAAACCCATAACCATCAGTAGTCAGTCACCTCCTGTTCCGCCATCCTCCCAGCCCGAGGCTGCTCCAGGCTGTTTTCTGCCTCAGTAGACTTGACCAATCTGGCCGTTTCACACAGATGGAAACACACAATATGCAGCCTGTGTGACTGGCTTTTTCACTTGCATAATGTTTTTGCAATTCACCTGTGTTGTCACAGGGGCCATCGGTACTTCATTCCTGGTCGTGGCTGAGTAAGATTCCGTGGTAGGGCTGGACTACATTTTGCTAACCCCTCTCATCGGTTGATGGTCACGTGGGCTGGTTCCACTTTGGAGCTGTTGTGAACAATACCGCCAAGAACACCTGTGTGCACACTGTGGGGTGGAGAGCCACAGGGCCCCGCAGGAGCACCACACAGAATATCACAGGAAAATGGTTTTCTCTCTCCTTTTCCTTCTAGTCAGAATTCCTACAAGAGTCCAATCTGATCATGGCCAAGTTGCATTATGTGGAAGGAGACTATGAAGAAGCTCTCAACATTTACTCCCGGGTGGGCCTCGAGGACTGGCCGCTGACAGGCGTCCCCCCTTATAGGTTGCGGATGGCTGCGGATGCCTACGCCACCAAAGGTGAGGTCCTCGTCTTCTCTCCCTGGGGGACTTGCCCCGGGTCACACTGTTTGGAGCCGCAGAGCCTCCCTGGAGCCCACGGTTTGACCCCTGTGCCCTTGGCTGACGGTTAGCTAGGGCATCTCCCAGCGAGACTGGTGGGGTCGGCCCCGCCACATACACTGGATAGTTTTAAGCCCAGTGACACGGTGTTTCCTTAGGGCTGCAGCTCCTCACTTGTCTCTGAAAGAAAAACATTTCAGTAAAGTTTCCCTGTGGTTAATGTGTAGCTTAAGCAGGGACCTTCCTTGGTAATTAAGATGCTTCACAGCATATATAGGAATTCTTATCATATGGCCAGTTGGCCATGTGGCTGATGACTTTTTTCTTCATTATTGTCACCTCTGGGTTACTTAAGGCTGAGTGGTCACTGTGACAGCCAGTCACACAGTGCCCACCTGGATGCCCTGAGACTCAGGGGATAGAAGAGGTAAATATTGCCCTGGTTGCCAATTTATAATCTAATGTGAGGAAGTGCAGTCCCATGGGAATAAAAATGACAGAAAGGCAGGACACACACATTATTTGACCTTTCCAAGTTGGCATTTCCTCATCTGTGAAATGGGTGTAATCACATCCACTTCACAGAGTTGTGAGGATCAAGTTACATAATGTATGTAAAGCAAAATGATATTTTAAAATGTTGGCCTCAAACAAAATAGCAAATGGAAAAGGCCAGGCATGCGTTACAGCTTTTCAGATGCCGGAAACCTCACTGTAGGCCAGCAGGGCCAGGAAGGCTTCCTGGAGGAGAAGGGACACTTTGAACTGGACTCATAAAGGCCTGGGTAAGAAGGAAACCATCTGAAGCAGCTCCTTTCCTTCGTGCCACCCACTATCCAAACCACTCGCTGTGGCTGACTGTGGCCGCACAGACCCTGGGCCCCGGGCGGGCTGATCCTCTGGGACAGCAGTGAGCTGTCCACTTGTGTGCAGCCAGCCGTCTGCCTTGGTTGTCCTGTGCAATGCTGAACAAAGACCCAGCAGGAGGCAGGCCTAGGAGCTTTGTGACAGGGGTGGCGTATTCACCCAGTTCCCTGGGGAATTGCACTTGAGTACTGCCAGTTTCCTCTAATTAATCTTCTCAGTGTCCCTGTGAGCTGGGAAAAGACGCTGTCACTCTCGGCAGGGCACCTGGCGGTTTAATGGGCACAGTCCTTTGAGGCTGTCTCGGATTCTGAGAGTGCCGGGCCTGGGGGTGTGTTGGGGTCTGGGCCACACGGCTGCCTTCTTCTCTCTCTGATGTTCACTCAGCACCTCACTTGCCTTAGGCCTATGGGAGCTGTATGTGTGTGTGTGTGTGTGATTTGCTGCAAAAAGAGCAAGACTTCACCTGGCAATTCCAGTCATCTGATCAACTTGGGGCGTGTGGACTGTAGCCAAGAGTTAGTTTGCCTGTTGGGGGGCGGGGACGGCTCTAAGGCCTGCTTAGCACCACGAGCTCAGGTCTTGATTTGGGCTCTGAGACAGCCTGGTGGGACAGACTGTCTGCAGGTGGCACCTGCCAGCTTGGTCTCGTGGCTGCCATGCAAAGGTGGCCAGGAGGACAGGAGCCCTGAGTCCCGCCCTGGGTAGTATCTGGCTGATTAGCAGTGAGCCCAGCCACAGGGCTGAGGCACGTGGCTCCTGGGACATGCTGGCTGGCTCATGGGAGACCCAGTCCTGGTTAGTTTCTGACTTCTGTAGGCACAGGGAGTCACACACATCCAGAGAGTAGGACAGGTCATTTCTGCCTGGAGGAAGTGGCCTACATCCCGGGAGGACCCAGGCCCTGAGAGCCAGGCGAGAGGCAGTGTGGACTGATGGTTATGGGCACCAACCCGGAACCACCTGCCTGGGTCCAACTCGCACTCTGTCACGTGCTGGCTCTGTGACCTTGTGCAAGTTTTTAACGTCTCTGTACCTCAGTTTCTCCACCTGTCAGGCTCTCATTGCACTGTCATGAGGATTCCATGAGGTGGTATATGTGAAATGCTTACCACAGTGTCTGGCACAGAACGAACATGACGTCCACGTTAGCTTACAGGATAAGGGGGGTGGGGGGACCACAAGAAGTGACTTATAATAACAGAGAAATCATCCCTCTAATTCATGGAGATGCCCAAACACAGGCCAGTTCTCTGAGGAGCTCAAGAGGCTCCTGGTCCTGACTGTGCAGGGATGTTCTTGGTGTTTCTTGCTTCACTGAGGTTCTTGAGAATTTTTAAGAGGAGGTTATGACGAGGATGTGATGGATGTTAGCGCACAGAGAACTCCTGAGCCAGAAGCTGTGAGCCACTAGCCTGCGGGCACCCAAGGCAGGTGTAGTCAGCTGGCTCAGTGTTTCCAAGGTTGCTAACATTTCCAAATTGGGACCATCCAGTTACGAATTTGGCTTTCCATCTTCTGTGGAAAGAAGGGAAGAGCTGTCCCCTCAGTCCCCCAGAGCAAGACCCAGCTGGGGCCGAGTGCAGGTGCCCCTTGGCTGGGCCCCCAGCAGCCCCTCCCCTCCCTGTGCCACCTGCAGGCTGCTGTAGGCCGTGGAACTGACCTACACACTTCCACATGTCACCTCAACTTTTCCGTGGTCCCCTGAGGTCTGACTTGACCAGGGCTCTCAGCCGGAGCTTTAGGTCAGTGAACCCCCACATCTGCACTTCGGCCGTGGCTGGGAGCACTCTCCCCTGCCAGGCAGTGTTAGCCTCGGGTTGCTGGGAATCAGAAGCCAACATCATTCAGTTATGAGAACCTCCTGTGGGCCAACACCATGTTAGGGTTTTATTGTCTTTTAAACCTCCAGACCCCTATTGACTGACAGAAGGGGGACTCAGTCTGAAGAGCATTCAGCTCCAAAGCCCTCGTTCTGAATCACTCTGCTCTGTTGGCCTCTGCTTCAGATGCACTCGGGCTAGGTAAGGTTTCCGCAGGTAGAAGACACTCAGGTCACTAGAGAACACCCTAGACTTGTATGCACACCCCTCCTCTCAGCCCCATCTCACTTGTTCCTCCCCCTTAACTCTTGACCTTGCCCAAGTTCCTTCCTGTAAGTTCTGGCGCTCAAGCTCACGTGTCCTGTCTTCCCTGAAGCCCTCTGGGACTCTCCAGCTCAGAGTCCGTCATATTTGAAATTCTCATACGCAGTAGGTTAGAATTGCGTGAAAATCATATTAGAATTAGTTGTACTGTAATCAGACACCCTGCCATTCTGTGAGTTCCACTCCAGGAAGAACTCTTTGTTTTGTTTGTCTGCCATCCTCAGAACTCAGCACAGTGTCTTAGCACAGAGCATCATAATTGATGCTCAATTATTGATTAAAATTTATAGAATTTCCCCTGCTCAAATATCTATCAAGATGCCCATCGTGTAATTCAGGTGTTTCTGGGTGCCTTTGCTCCCAGCCTCTCATGGTCAGATGCATTTTCTCTGCCTTTAGGTAACATACTGAGTGTATGTTGGTAATTCAGACTCACTCCCTGCCAATTATGGTGAATACCTGTAACAACGTGCCAACTTTACACCCTAACAGAGCCCAACATGGATCTCTTTCCCGAAGGTTATACATTTCATTTCATTTCCATCATCAAGGAGCCTCTAAGTGGATCTCAACTCCCCTCCATCCCCCCAGCTCCTCCTATCTCTTAAACCTAAGTAGAGAAACAGAGAATGAGAATAGAAAAAACGGAGAAATCCTTTAGCTTCTGGTAGAACTGGGTTAATCAAGTGAGTAGAGATCTTTGCTCTGGGTACATATTGAGATATCAAGTGAAATCTCCAGGACACTGAGTGTCCACAGACGTCCTTTTCCCAAGTGGGGAAACTTGGGAACAGTGAACACATGGCCAGTGCCTATTTTGGGACTTAGATCTACTGGACATTGGGTAGCTTTCTGCAGCTAGGGCAGTGGGAGCTGTAAGTGCCTTGCCTTCCTAGGGATGCCCTTTATAAATAGCCTTGGTATGTACCTGTTGCAGTAAAGGGACCACGAAGGCATTGGCTCCAATGTGAGGGAAGACCTGTGTTGGTCCTGAGATAGTCCAGCTGGTCAAGGCGGGGGGGCAGCTGTGTTCTCCGAGGGTGCTGTTCCTCCCCCATCCGCTAGGGCGCAGTCCTCATCTGTGTGATTGACAAATGAAGCTGGCTGGCTGGCGTGTTGCAGTTCATGGAAAGGGAAGAAGAGAGAGGTATCTAAGGTGAGCAGAAGGAACACACATCAGCTCTGCTGACATGCATTGGTGAGAAGCTGCTACAGGACCATAGCCACCAGGCACTTGGGAAAAGGAAGAGATGGGGGGACACACAAGCCTCTTTTGGACGTGTCCATCAGAGCTTGGTCTCTGAACCAGGTGGGACCTGTTGGAGGGTGCAGGGAGAGAGAAGTAGGCTGCACTCGGGTGAATAAAAGGGGACACGTAGGACCTGAGGCTTGGGATTGGTGCCCAAGAGGAGGGAAATTATGAACCTGGAAGCAACAGTGTGGTATTCAACTTCCTTTCCAGGTGGCGTGGTACCAAAGCAGAAAAAGACTGATTCCAAAATATAGATGGGGCCTTCGCAACCATCTGTCATATGTGCCAGAGTGGGTAAGGGACTTGCCCGACATCACACAATCAACTGCAGGCAGGGCCAGGATGGGGGGACGTTTCTTGGTAGGAAGCGTCCCTGTCAAGCTGCGTGACACCTGTGCCCAGGTGGAGAAGGCGGCACAGTGTTGGGGAGCTGCATGGAGCCCCCTCCATTTTCCTTATTCCTCCTTTGTTCCTGGGTTTGAAACTCCTCCTCTGACACCTTGGTTCAGAGCATGGGGTTTGGAGCCAGGCTGCCCAGGTTTGGTCTCTAGCTCTGCCACTTACTAGCTCTAGGATCTTGCGCAGAGTACTTTCGCCTCACTGGGGCTCCATCTTTTCATCTGTAAAATGGAGATAATAATACTATCTACATTAGAGAGGTTGTTGAGTGAGTGAACATGTGTAAGAGCACTTAGCACAGTGCCTGGCAGATCAACAAAGGTTAGCTGTTTTTATTTTTAGGTATCCCTTGGGTTTGACCCCAAATGGGTAGATCTCTCCAGAAGCCCCCAGTAATGTCCAGTTATGGGGAGGGGGAGAGATACACAAAGCCCTGTCTGCTTTGTCTGTCAGAGGGTTTGGCATTCAAGAGGTGGGAGATCCAGCAGCGATTTGAGGCCTGGAGTGCTGCTTTGGGAGGAAAAGTTGTTGATGGTGTGGAGGATGGGGAGTCCCCAGCGGCCAGGGGCAGGTGGAGTGGGTACCCTAAAGGAACTGCTGCAGGGCAGGGCCAGAGACAGACTTCACTGCGCACTTCTCCAGTCTTGCCCAGGGCTGGCCTGAAGGCTGGAGGTCTTTAGAGTTGGACCTACCTTAACGGTTTTATCACGAAAGGCTGTTCACATTGGGATGGGTCTGTTGATTCAAGTAGTGTTCCTTTAAGAGGCAGGAGTAATTCACACAGTCCTCAGGCAGGTGTCTTCATAAGGAACTTGGTTAGTACATTGGCTGATAGGAGAGGAGCCAGCAGAGGAGGAGAAAGCATCTCTGGAGGGCTCCAGGGAAGGGTCTTGTCTCTTCTGACCGGCCCTCCCTTTTCGGTCAGAGGCCAGGGGTGATCCCTTAAGGCCTCCCCTTCCCTTAAGGCCTCCCCTTCCCTTAAGGCCTTCTTGTGGGCCTCTCACGCTCGGCAGAAGTGCAGTTGTGATGAGAGCAACCGTGGGGAAGTGGTAACTGACTTATGTAACGGCCTCCCCTTGCAGAGGTTACATCCCTCCTCGTGTGACATCGGCCCCGTCCCTTTCATTGGACTGCCTGCTGTGTGCTGTAAGTGTCCCGTCTCCGGGCGCAGTGTTGAGAGGGAACGAAGACGCCTGCTTCTAGGGTGGGCAGCACTGAGAGGCTAGGGCGCTCTCGGGGGAGGCTTTTACAAGTGCTGCTGTTCCTCCGAAGCTTCTAAGCCATAGTCTTCAAATACAGAACCCATCTCCAAAAAGGTTTGGCTCTCAGCCTTGCTCTCCCCAGCTTGAAAACCAGTGTCTTCTCAGACCCTTTGACCTCAGCTTGGCATGATCAGCCGTTCGGCCAGAAGACGAAGGCTTAGAACATTCACTGACAAAATGTTTGGGAAAGTGGCCCCTGGGAGTTGCTCACTGTCTCCCATGGGCCTCCTCCCAGGGCAGAATTCAGATCCGTCAGCACAGGGGACGTGGTTCATTGTTGAGGGGCTTCGTCAGGTGTCGCTCGAGGGTCTGTCCACCACACTTTGCTCAGTCCTGGGCAGCTGGGTGGTATCGAAAAATGAAACACATTGAATTGGAAATTCTTCAGACGGTGGGTGGTTATGACTTGGGTGTTGTCATACTCCCAACAGGCTGTCACATGTTGAGACCGGAGGAAGCATATAGCTTCAGTCAGGGGTACCCCCCCCCCCCGCTATCTGGAAATCTTTCTAGCGGCCGCACCCTGAGGTGGGCAGCTCCTGCTGGATTAGTACTGAGTGAGCCCTCCTCGAGGGAGGCAGGCATGATGCTTGCAGGGTGACTGGTTGCACCTCCTCCGGAGAACAAGCCTGTGCTGTGGGGATTATCTTTCCCTGCAGAGAGGGTGAAAGCTTGAATTTCAGAGGTGAGGTGGGATTCAAATCAAGGCCCGAGGCCGCCATGCTGTATCTGCTTTATTGAGCTGCCTTTCTGTTGGAGCGTAACCTCGCCTTTGGAGCGGACATGTTGTCACTGAAACTCTCATGTCGGATTACCTGCTAACCCCTGATTTGATTCTGTGATTCTTAAGTAATTTAGTAAGTCTCACTTTTCTTGTCTGCAAAGTGGAGATAATAATACTCTGACAAGAGTACCAAGAAGAATAAATAAGACAAAAATAGGAAATGCTTTGAGAAATAGAAATCCGAGGTCAGCAGGTGGGGGATTAATGTAGTCCGAGCTCAGGTACTCCTGAGGTTGGGAACAGTGGTGGCTGGGATGGTCCCAGCCCTCCTCACCTTCTAGCATGCTCCTTTGCTTGGGCAGCCGGTAATGCTTCTAGCTGTCCTCGGCTGACCTCTTGCCTCTTCCTGAATAATTTTACTTTGTTCTTCTTAATACAGACAAAATACATTGGGCATTATATAAAAACCAGAAATACAGACCAGTTAAAAGAACATAAAAGTAACCATCGCCCCATCCACCCAGAGCCAAATTCCATTAACATTATAGTGCGTTACCTTCCAGATCATCTTATCAAGTGTGTGATTTTGTTTTAGAAAAATGAGTTTATATCACATATACTGCTTTGTGACCTGCTGACACTTTCCCTGACAACAGCTATATTTCTGCAGCATTTCAGCAGCTGTACAGTGTTTCATGATATGGATAAGCTATACTATATTTAACTAAAAAGCCTCTATTTTTGGACATGTAGGTCGTTTTCAGCTTTTCACTGTTACATGTAAGGCTGTGACGAACGTTCTCTCAGCATGGTCTTTGTGCTTGTTCTAAATTAATGATTTCCCTAGGAGAGGTTTCCAGAAGTGGAGATTCTGGGTCAAAAGACAAGTATTTCTGGACTGTCCTGCAAAACCACTATAACTGCGTGCTTTCCTGCCTGCAGTGTGTGGGACCAGCCGCCTCTCATTCTGACCTCTGATCTGAAAGTGAACATTTATTCTGAACTTGTATGTTGAGTATAGGCTATCTGGAAAATAAAGTAAAAGATACAGCAGAAAGTAAAATCAGTCACCCTACTGCCACTTGAGTTAGTCAACAACTTTTAAAGACATTTTAAAAATATATATAGATACATAGAAAAAATCTGTATCTATCTATATTTCTTTAACTATATAAAAGTATATGTAAAGATATATATTTTTATACACAGTGAGGATTTTGCTATATGTACTATTTTACTTTTTTCACTACATGTATATATGTGTGTGTGTGTGTACAATTATTTTTCCAAGTCATTAAATATCTTTGGACAGCTTTTAAGGATTTACACAGCCCTGTGCCCTATGGATATTTTTGAAACAGTTGCCTGTGGAACATTTATTGCTTCAGTTTTTCATACTACAAAGATGCTCGATAGCTTTTTGAAAAACAACTTTACTGAGATATAATTTACTCCCGTAAAATAGTGTACAATCCAGTGGTTTTTAATATGTTCAGAGTTGTGCAACCATTACCACAGTCAACTTTAGAACATTTCCAGCACCCCTCTAAAAAACAGGTACTTATTAACAGTCACTTCCCACTGTCTGATTACCCACCCCCCTCCCCTAACCCCAGCCTTAGTTGGCCAGTAGTCTGCTTTTTCTCTGTACACTTGCCTATTCTAAACATTTTAGGTAGATGGTATGTCATAATATGTGAGGTTTGGTGTCTGGCTTCTTCCACTTGGCATGCTGTTTTCAGGGTTCTCACATGTTGCGGCACATATCATTCCTTTTTATGGCTGAATAATATTCCATTGCATGAAGGTACCACATTTTGCACATTTTGTTAATCTGTGCATCAGTTGATGGACATGAGGTTGTTCCATTGGCTGTTACCAATAGTGCTGCTATGAACATTTTTGTACAACATTTGGAGTGGAGTGTTTTCATTTCTCTTGGGCATATTCTTAGGAGTGCAATCACTGGGTCATCTGATAACTCCATGTTTAACGTTTTGAGGAACTGCAAACTGTTTTCCAGAGTGGCTGTACTGCTATGAAAGGTTCCAGTTTCTCCACATCCTTGTTAACACTTTATTATCTTTTCTTTTGATTACAGACATCCTAGTATGTGTGAAGTGGTATCTCATTGTGGTTCTTAATTTGTTTCCCTAATGACGAATGATGTTGAACAACTGTTCATGTGCTTATTGGCCATTTGTGTATCCTTTTTGGAAAAGCTTGTGCCCATTTTAAAATTGGATAGTTTGTCTTTTTATTACTGAGTTGTAATAGTTCTTAATATATTCTAGATATAAGTCCCTTTACAGATACGTGGTTTTAAAATATTTTTTCCCATTCTATAGGTTGTCTTTCCACTTTCTTGATGGTATCCTTTGAAATGCAAAAGCTTTAAATTTTGATTAATTTTAGCTTACCTATTTTTTTCTTTTGTCTCTTTTGTGCTTTCGGTGTTATAGTTAAGAAACCATTGCCTAATCATGGTCACAAAATTTTTTTAAAAAAATTTAAAAGAGTTTTATAGTTTTAACTCTTACATTTAGGTCTATGATCTACTTTGAGTTAATTTTTGATACAGTGTGGGGTAGGGGTCCAACTTCATTCTTCTGTCTGTGGATATCCAGTTATTTCAGCACCATTTGTTGAAAGACTATTTTCCCCTCTTGAATAACTTTGATGTCTTTGTTGAACTCAACTGAATGTGAATGTACGGGTTTATTTATGGACTCTCAAGTCTATTATGTTGGTCTATGTGTCTGTCCTTATGCCAGTACCACCCTGTCTTTATTTCTGTAGCTTTGGAGGAAGTTTTAAGATTGGGAAGTGTGAGTCTTCCAACTTTGTTTTTCTTTCCAAGATTATTTTGGCTTTTCTGGATCCCTTACATTTCCATATAAGTTTTAGGATCAAATAGTCAATTACTGCAAAAAAAAAAGCTTGCTTGGAATTTGATAAGAATTATGTTGAATTTGATAAGGATCATGTTGAATCTGTAGATCAATTTCGGGAGTGCTGCCATCTTAACAATAGTAAGTCTTCCAGTCCATGAACACGGGATGTCTAATTCCTTTCAAAACTGTTTTGTAATTTTCAGTGTACAAGTCTTACATTCCTTTTGTTAAATTAATCCCAAGTTTTATTCTTTTGGATGCTATCATAAGTGGAATTGTTTTTTAATTTAATTTTCAGAATGTTCATTGCTA